GACAGCAACACAACTGAAATGTTCCCAGACAGAAACGTAGCAAGGACATCGGTAAAACAGTCCATGTGACGTCAGTGGCTCAACTTTGCGAAATTTTGTGAAGCTGCGAGAATACTTTTTATGCGCAAAGAAAACAATATGACGACTTTATTCAACAATTCTTCTCCCCCGAGTTACTGTCTTCCACCATTTTGGAGAGTATCACAACGCATACGCACGCTTTACCCTAAGTGTAAACAATGCTGATTACGCAGATTACATTCATGCACGCGTTTCCCCCCCTAATGTAAACAACAGTGATTACGTTCTTGGGTACTCTCCAAAATGGCAGAAGACGTAACGTAATAAATTGTTATTTTAGTTTTCTTTGCACACAAAAAGTATTCTCGTAGCTTCGCAAAACTGAAGTTGAGCCACTGATGTCACATGGACTGTTTTACTGATGTCCTTGCTACGTTTCTGTCTGGGAACATTTCAGTTGCGTTGCTGTCTATGGAGGGTCAGGGAGCTCTCAGATTCCATCAAAAATATATTAATTTGTGTTCTGAAGATGAATGAAGGTCTTACGGGTTTTGAACGACATGAGGGTGAGTAATTAATGACAGAATTTTCATTTTGGGGTGAACTAACCCTTTAAATATGCTTCACCGTGTAACGTGGCGCCACCCTCAGCAGTATTGAGCATTCTTCCGTATAAAAAAATAAATAAAATAAGTACGGCTGGTCTGCCGAGAGCGAGAGCAGGGCTTCTGCATTTCAAAGTGCAGTGGGAATATTGCATGTAGTGAGGTCTTTTGACTTTGCGAGTGGACTCATGAGCACCTCGGGAGGAGGAGGAGGGTAGTTTTTACTTCTCTCCGACTGGATACTTCTCTAAGTCGGATTGCTTTAACAGGATCGAAGAGTTGAACCTGAACAGGGTAACTTAATATGCGGACGCTCTATCTGAGAGATTTCCCTGAGACATTTTCTTCCTCATTATTTTTTTTCGACATCACTCTATTAGAAATCTCTTCTTCTGCCACCATTTTTATTATAGGCAAACAAAGTGGGGTTTTCAATAACCTGTACTAAAGCTGATATCTAGAGAATGGGAGCTAGCTGATATAATGCCTGTATATATAATGAACACTTATTGGATTGCTATAAAATACTTATTGGACACAATGTTTAATTGAATATTGACATAAATGCTTTTTAAAATAATAGAAAATGTCTTTATTCATTCTGCATCAAATAAAAGTCTAAAGTCATAAATATATAAAACCAATATAAAATATTGAGTCAAAAAGCTTATTCTCAATATTAGCATAACTACTGTTTTTCAGTCAATACTGATTATACAAATATTGGAGTGTTTAGTTTTTTTTAACTCTGTTTGTTCATTATTTTGTCTCTTTTATATTATTTTATTTTTATCTCTCTCTATAGTATGCATGTATGTATATGTGGATATATGTATATATATATATATATATATATATATATATATATGATATTTTATCTTATTTTTTCTATATATTTAGACTACTACTAATAATAGCATTTTTGTATATATACAGCATTATTTAGACTACTACTAATAATAGCATTTTTGTATATATACAGCATTGGGTAATTTCTGTACATAAACAGAACTTTCTCATGGCTGTTAGCAGACAATAACCATTATGCATTCACTCTGTGTTGTTTGCAGAAAACTACTGGTAGTATATCGTCCTGTGGGCCTTTAGTGTGTTCGTATGCATCAGAAAGCACAGCTCATTATCTGCCCATTACATATTTACACATACTGTAAACACGAGAGCCAACCGTTCTTCTCCACAACATGCAAATCAATGAATGCTAGTGGTTAAACGGATCGTAGTTGATCCGTGATCCGTACGGACCAAGCCCCACGGTTCGGCACGCA